ACAGATGAGCTGTAAGACGGAGAGCCGAGCCTTTTCCCTTTGGCTGGCCCAGCAAAAGAGTAGAGGCGGGAGAAGACAGAAGACTCTTGTTCGTAGAGTTTTGCCGCAAGCCTCACTTGCTTTCTCCTAGATTGGAGGCGGAAGAGAGGCAGAAAACAAGATCGTTATCATTATTAGCTGATTTCTTTTATTCATGTATTCAACAAACACACATATTTTCTGAGTGCCAACACCCTGGGAGGCAGTAAACAAAACAAAGTTTTGGTTCTCATCAAAACGACACTCACACGAAGTAGGAGGTCCTATGTCAGAAGGTGATGACATATTTTGCAGGGTAAGAAGATAGATAAAAACAGGAGTGGGTGTGCAGGAAAGGGATTTCTAATAAGGTGACCTTTGAGCAGAGACTTGAAGGAAGTGAAGGAGTAAGCCACGCGGGTTCTGAGGAAATCACATCCCAGATCAGGACTGAGGCCGCCATGTAGGTGCCTGTCTCAGGTGAGAAGCCGCCGGGAATGGTGGGGCTGGAGTGGAGACCGCTGGGCGAGAGTGGTAAAGAGAGAAGTCAGATGGGGGAGGGCCAGCCTGGGCGTCACTCGGAGACCATGCCAAGGAGCTGAGATAATTGAAAGTGAGATGAACAGCTATTGTTAGATTTTGGAGGGTGATCCTTTTTAAATACTCGAAAAACCAGAGTATAAGCATGAAGTCAGGAAAACGGGGCACCGTGCTTCCTTCACGACTTTGAGAAGAACGTGTGTGCTGTTATAGTCAGGATTGAACTGTCGGAACTTCAAGTCATCCAATGCAGGGAGTGAAACAGAAATCACGGTTTTGCTTGATCTTGATGTAAAAATCACGCATGATTTTTTTTAAGATTTTTATTGGGGAATTGGGGAATGGGAACAGTTTTGGGGAATTGGGGGAAGGGGAACAGACAAGTTGCTGTCCTTTTGTTCTTCAGTCTAGTTGTGGAGGACGTTGCTTCACTGGCCCAAGTTGGCACCATCATTGCGCTCTTCCCGGGCAAGGCAGATCAGTCGCTGGTTTCTGGACGGCTGCTCACAGCAGCTGCTGGCTGCTCACGCTGACTGCTGGCTACACACGGTAGCCCATGGCAACCCACTGCAGCAGGGGCTGCAGCCTATGCTGTCACCAGCGACTCACGGCAGCCCAGCTCCAGGTCGAGCTGTTGTTCAGCATCTTAGCTGTGGAGGGAAGTGTCACTGGCCCTCATATGTGGGATCCGAACTAGCGCCCTCTGGCGTCCCAAGCCAGCTCTTAGCCAATGCGCCACTTGGCCGGCCCACACATGCTTTTTTAATTGGGATAAAAGTGAGTAACCATGAGTCATTTACTCAGCTGGTGAGAATACTTTTCATGGATAGACCAAGCTCCTGCACCCAGTGACCTGTGCTCTGCTAGGCCTCTTCCCCGGCAGTATTTTGGTTATGCTGCAGCTGTGAGTGAGGTCCCCCAACATTGCTGCTGTTCTTGCACAGATTTGTTGAGCTTCAGAGGCAAAGAGCAGCTGGTGGGGTACTTGGGGTCAGAGTATATAGGAGGCTTCAATAATCCGCTCTGCTCTCAGTGAACACGGAGCCAACTCAGCCGTTTTCCCCTCACAGACAACTCAGTATAATCTAGAATTACGGGGAACATGGGCTCCGTGAAGGAGCATAAGTTACATGGAGTGTGATTTCCAGTCCTTAGGAGAAGTACCTTCCTAAAAATGAGGGTGATGGATACCTGCAGTGGGCTGTGCCATAGAGACCACCCTGCCTCTAAATGTTTGCAAGCAGGTGAGCACATCTCATGAACGTTCCTGAAATGACTCTTGCTTTGTGTGGCATGTTGGACTAGAATAACCTCTCAGAGTCACGCCAACGCAAAACCCTGCTGAGCCTATGAAAAGTGTTCAGTGAATGTGCTCTGCAAACATACAGACGCTATATAAACAGGAGGCAAATATTTTAAAAGATGAAGAGTGAAATACTTGTTCTTCTGGGAGAGCCGTGGTTGGAACTCTGTGCCCGAACAACATACTTTCCGTGTTCAGTCGCCTGCTGTATGTTCTCATTGGCCCTGTACACAGTTATCTGCTTTATGTGTGAAAAATGCGCTCAGCCAAAGACCAAACAAATAGTCAAAGGCATTTTCCTATCAGGGCCCATTTGTAGGAGGTAGAGCCAAAGAACAAAGCTGTTGGTTTTGAGGCTTGTCAGGAAGCCAAGCTGCTGCTTCAGAGCTCCAGGATTTACAGGGAAGAAAGAGGAAGGATTTTTCAGCTGAGATGAAATTAGAATTAAAGCAACAGAAAACTTAAAACTAAAATTAAAGCATCCTCTGGGATCCAGGATGGAAAGGCAAAAGCAAAAACGGGATATGTTCTAGGCTCTCCAGTGATTTCTTGCGTGCAAGAATGAAAACTTTTAGAGGTGCTCAAAGCAGAGATTACAGACTGGCCTTGATTAATGATACAGGATCACACAGCATTTGAGCTGGATGAGCCGTCCTTTTAGGAATCATTGAATCGCGTCCCTCCACTGACAGATAATGGATCAGAAGCCCTGGAACTCGAAGAGACTGCCTGGTTGTCACACCGCTGGTTGTGGGAGTTCTGGGACTAGAATCCAGGACTCCTGACAGCCATTTTGTGTTTTCGGCCCCGTTTCAGAAACAGCAAACAATTGAAAGTTCTATTTCCTAAGAGCAGGGGGCAGACAGCCACAAGGACTGTATTCTGAGTCCGCAGGGCATTTGGTTTCCCAGAATGTGGCCTGATCCCCCAGAGCCAATGGCATTTGCTCTTGCCATTGTCACCTCCATCCTCGAACTTAGGGCAGCACAGCCTGGAGTCTCTGAGCCCACCCCCCAGGAGGGGAGGTGGAGCCGATTCTGTAGGAGGCCTTCAGAGGCCTGCCTCCCCTCAGAGCCCCAGTGAAGCATGAATGGATTCGGACAGTGCGGGGGAGATTGCAGTGGTCTGGGTCAGTCCTCCTAAGCACCTGCAGGACAATCTCAGCTTTGCCCCAGTGTCATCGTGGGTGTTGTTGTTTGGCTTCCTATGCTGAAAGGGGCTGTCTCCTCTTTGGCAAAAACCTAAACAAATTGAAACTGTGTTTAAATAACAGCATTCTTTTTACATAAAAGAACTCCCATGAGAGAATAGCTCCTGCTCCAGCCCCCCCACCCCCCCACACACACACCCAGTTAACTTTGTCCATTCAAATCACCAGCATTTAAGTGAGATCTTGTTACTTGCTTCTGTTAGGAGGGTGGAGAGCGGGAGTTGGTAGGTAGTCCAAAGGAGAAGGAGAGGGTTTTCTGTGTGTCTCTCCATTTCAACCAATAAGATATTAGTTATCATTCTTTTGACTCTTCATCTATTCATTTATTCATTCATTCTCTTGTTTGTTTACATTCCGATTCTATAAAAAAAAATGTTCGACAAAACTTAGAACAAAGAGCACATATGCTGTAAATAAAGTAAAAATGAAGTCAGGTTGCTGAGAGGGGCGAAGCCGATTTCGCCCATGAATTGTCATAGGAAATCTGTGTTAAATCTTAAGTTTTACTCTGACCGTTCTGGCCACCAGGATTGAAAAAGCAATACACAATTCCTAGTTATCAGAAAGGGAAAAAAAAATTCCAGCAGCTTCAAGAGAGACTAAGTGTTGCAATTCTGGGGCTCGTGGCATTACCAAACACTTAGAGAGGACTTTCCGGTGCTTAGGACAAAGCTCCAGGCCTAAGAACACCCCTCCCTCTCGCTCTCTGTCTTCAAAGTGTCCTTGCTTCAGGCCACCTGAAGCACCCCCCTTCAAAAAAACATGTTCTTAGTGTTATCATGAGCTCTGTTTGTATGTGTCAGGGCGTGGCTTGGTCATGGGGTTTAATTTAGGTCTGAAATTATGTTGTCCAGGGCGTCTCTAGGATTTGCAGATTATGAGGACAGGAGTCGGAATTGTAGGGAGGGTCAAAATCCAGTTCTGCAGTGGCTATCCCGTCTCCGCCAATGTACCTGCTTTCTCCCCAAATAACCCTAAGCCCCTTCTCTGGCCCTTTTTTGCTGTGTCAAGGTGCTTTTTTGGAACAGGGCATCCGTAGGGAAGAGAGTTCTGCAGAATACACTTTGGGGAATGTTGGCTCCAAGGATTAGTAGATGACATGACCATGTAGTAATTTCACACCCCTTCTTGGGCCCTGGAAGCGGGGAATGGAGTTTGCCGTTAACCTAGACATGTAGAGTTCAGGAGCTAATATTATGCACAAATAAGGTGAATCCAAAAGCCCCACTCTGAGCTCCTAAGCTCCATTCTGAAGTTGTAACTAGAATTTAGATTCTTCCAGAAGAAGGAAGAAGCAATGTCGAGATTCCCATCCCTTTATATGCCTGTGAAAGCATGAATTGACTCCATTCTCCTAAGACTTGGGATATGTCAGAGGATATACCAGAACACTCTAGAATTTTCGAGAATGGTAAAAAAAAAATGAGTTATAGAAATCTGATGTGTTGGGCTTTTGTAATAGACAGTGTGAGAAAGAAAACAGGAAAAGCAGTTCCTTCTCTCTGGGTTACCTGAATATTTACGGAAAATTTGTTTGTTTTTAACGTAAGCACACGTATCCTCCACACACGTTTTATGTCCATAGAAACCTATGTTTTAGAATGCATCATTACTGAAGAAAGGAATATTTCAAAGTCAGAAGTAGCCTTGGGCTCAATACTTGATGTGAAATAATTTGTGTGGATTCTTGGCCAAACATCGTCATTTGGAAGACCAGGCACAGTGTCTGGGTTTCCGATCATGGGTTTGAGTCATTGTCCTTGTCCTAATTGTGTTGATGCCAATCACATGATTTGCTAGACAACAAGAAAAATTGGGGTTTGAACCTTCAAGTAAACAGAATGAATATGCTCAATTCTACTTGGAATGTTTTTCATAATTATTTTAAGCCATGACTTGATTCTCATGTGTGCTTGTTCTTTTTAAAAGTATTAGAAAGGAAGATATCCACAAGACAAAGTAGAGAGGAGCTGATAAGAAGGGGAGTTCTTAAGGAATTGCCTGATCAAGGTGAGGAAATTAATTATACATTTAAAATAATTTGATCCTTCATTCTTTGCTCTTTCGTTTTCTTTTGAAATTTAAGATGATCACGGTCTTTGGGAGATAAAGCCATGAGTACCACACTCCGAGAATCTTGCTTTTAATTCAGAATGCCTTTGTGGGCTGCAGAGAATCTAAGGCCTTCTTGAAAAGAATTTCAGTGACCTTTTTTTAGTGAGTCCTTCACCATATGTCACTCTAAACCTAAAGCTCTACAAAGGTACACTGTAGCTGGAAATATAGATAAGATGCAAATGCTTCCATGATGCCTCTGTTCTTGAGCTTCAGTCTTTCTATATAAGTGAACACAGTTGTTTGAGTAAATGCAAAGTTTTAGCTTGGCTCCTGCCTTTGGTTTCTTAAGCCTACTAGTAAAAGAAAAGAGAGACAACTTACCCCTTTCCTTTATAATACACCCAAATGTGCAATCAGTAAGGCATGAGTGGGCAAATTAAATTAATCTGCTATATGCAGTCTCTCAAGTAATTTTCCCAATATTGTTCTCTTTTTATTTCTTTGAATCTAATTGTCACTCACCTTTTCACTAACAGTATTTTCAAGTATTTTTTCCCTTACCTCTAACCTTCTTCCCTTTTTTCTCTGTCCTCCCAAGGGGGAATCTTGCTCAAAAGACAAGGATTGGGTAGAAACTGAGATAGACCCTCAAAAGAAGACACCAAAATTGGTTATTTCTCCAAATAAATAATACCAAGTAACTTTTATTGCTCTCACGACAATTGAAACAAAAGAAAATTTTTGTTGTCACATTGTTGATTTACTTCATCCCTTACCCTACCCCCGAACACTTACTGGGGTACATTATTATTATTGTACTTTTATGGGAACAAATGAAATGGTACTAAATTGGAATTGAAATAATCGTACTTCTCTTTTACTGATCTATGTAACTTGCAAAGAACTTAAACATCTTTTGGCATTCACTACTTATAAATCAAATGATAACCTTTTTCCAACATGTGAATAATTCCAAAATGGAGCTAGGAAATGCTTTACTATTTTACCACTGCTTCAAAGAAAACAAGGAAGTCTGGAGTGAATACCAACGTTTTTCTTGAGCCCTCACAATTTTAGGTATTTTACTTCACTTTCCGGCCTATTATACTTTTTTCACTCCATTTGATGAATGAATTTTATGTCTTCCCTAATTTTCTATTACCTTGAAGCTATTTATTTCCTGTCTGGAACTTTTAAAAATAAAAAATGCACATTCCTAACTCTTTTTTTTAACTTGATGGTCGGCTTGCAGTATCAAACTTGCCTCCTCTGTAATCTCTCTGGAAGCACTAGAGAAATTACACATCCACTGAAAGCTGAATGCTGCACAGTCACCTTTATGGGATGGGCCAGTGCACTTCTTTGGTTTCCTTTACTTGGAAATGTTTTAAAGAAGGGGGTAAAAATGAGGAAATTTATGATTGAAACTGTTAATGAGTATTAAAAGTAGAGATTAAAGGCCCCTTTTTATCCAATTAAAAATTGTAGCTAAAAAAGAGTTTATTCTAAAAACAAGTGGCAATTGTCAACCAAAGAATTGCTTCATTTAGTTTTGCTTCATTTTTATTCTGCCTAATCCTATTTAAAGTATTTGCATGATGGGTTACAATTTTATCTACTTATTTCCCCAAAATCTGACATATTGGACCTTTTTATTTAACTTTTGCAGACTAGCATTAAAGGCTTTAAAACATAAAAGGACAAAACAATTTTTAACCTAAACATAATGTAATGGGTTTAATGTTTGAGAAGTCATAAGTTGCTGAATTTTACTTTCCACCTTTTGCATGGTCCCTATAAACAGCTATAGAAATCAGCTAATACTTAGAAGGTCCCAGGGACACCTGTTGTCAATAGAGTCCTTCCTCCTTTTCAGCCAAGGGCTGGAGAAAATATTTTTCTGTAATCTTTCCAAAAACAATTATTTTGAGAATTTCAGTCTGTTTTTGACTCTAGCCAGAGACTGGAAGCTGCTGTGTTTGGTGACAACCTCCTCCCTTCTGCCAATGAGGATTCATTCTTTGCTTTGATCTTCTTAACCTTGTCTTAGCTCTTGACAGTGCTTGTCAATTATGCCCTTTATTCAGGGAGCCAGGTAGACTTTTTAAAATCTCTCCAGCTACCCTGGGTTTGACCTCGTCCCATCTCCCCCTTACCCTGCCTCCTAGCTATTATTATTCCTTTTAGATTATCTTTTTTCATATCAAGGCCTAACTTCAGTCTAAAAATTCAGCTATTGGTCTTCCCTCCTGAGAATTCCATAGTTTAGTCCAAGTTCAATCCTTATATTCTGGTTCTTTCCTTCCATCTTTTCCCTTAACATAAACATGAGGGCACGTAGAAGTTTTTGCCTGCCCGCCAGCCTTCTTTCCTTTCTCTTGGGGTACTTTTTAACCTTCTAATGACTCACTCACCTTTTGTTCATAGGTGCTTTTCTCCTCCTCTCTGTTCCTGGGTTAACTATATCCCAGATGCACCTGTTTACCAGAAAGAGGGAAGCCCCTTGAACACTCTCATGCTCCTTATTTAACCACTTATTTCTGTGCGTGCTTTAACTCCTGGTTTACTTTAATGTCGACCCTTTTCTGAGTTTTTTCTTTGCATGCAAATGCTCCTGTAAGACTTGGCCTGGGCCTCTTGCTATAACCTGCAGTCTAGCTCAGCATTTTCTTTTGCCTTCCTTTGCTGAGCTTATATTTTACTTACATACTTAAACTATATCAAGGACTTGACGTGTTCATTCTAAAGTGATATACAAATCTAGAAAACCTTCTCAGTCACATCCCAATTGATTATTAGGAACCAGTTCTCATGTTTTATTCTTCAATTCCATATTTGTTACAAAATGTCCTTTTTCTGCAGTTATTTTGCTATGCACTAACTTTATTTCATACCTCAAAGTATCTTTTCACATTGTCAACTATTATCTCTATCATGTGATAATCCAATTTCTTCTTGTGCCTCAACTATTTCATTTTCTCTCTAGCTTTTTTTGTTCTGAAATTTAGAAATCAATTACTTAACCTATTAAAGTTTTAATATAATAATGGTTAAAATAGAATTAAATTGTCATTAACATGACTTTCGACATATTTTTATTACCAACTAAAGTCATAGAAAACCAAGATAAATTTATATTTGGGTACCTAAAAACTGAGGAATTTTAGGTAAAGAAGTGATTTTGTATTTTTTTGGAACTTTCCATTGATACATTAGTTTTTATTTTTTTCTGAGTCTAATATCTGCACATTATATTGTGTATCTCCTCTTTTTTTATATAACAAATTTCTTAGGGTCCAACAATAAGAACTAAGAAAGAATATTTGATTTCTCTTGGTTTGACATATACTCTTTAAAAAAGTATTATTTTAATTTTATTAAACTAGTTTAGATATACTTGTAATGGCATTGCCTTCAATTATTGTCTATTTTAGTTTTATACAGGAATCAGATTATAGGTGCTTGAAATTTATATGACTAAGCAACAACTGCTTTTGCATTTTGAGTATGATATAATTTTATATGTATAATATTTTACTTACTAAATTGTCATGCTTGTTTTTTGTCAAGAAGGCCAGTGGATTTTATTGTTGATCCAAAGCCATGCAATTACAGTTAACGAAAAGTTCTAAGATGGTCTCTGTTTTATAATGGTTGCCAAAATAAGATTGATCAAAATTGCATGTAACAGCTCTAATTTTGCATTTCTTCAAGTTTGCTAAGTAAAAACTTCAATTCATTAATTTTTCTTTCACAATGTTAGCAAAGCCTCTTAAAATTCTCCAGATATGAACTAGGGTTAATCTTTTCAAGCATTTTGGTTTTTGAAGTAAGAGTTTCTGCAAAATCTTTTATTTTAGAAACTCCTAGGAATTATGAAAGTTCAGGAGTTAAAATTAGTTGTTTATGATTTAGACAACATATTAGAAATTTTATTTTCAGTTGTGATTTTTTTAAATTCCTCTGTAATTACTGTTTTCTACATGTTGTTTTCCCCAATATTTTCAAATTATTTTTAGACCTTAAAGACTCTTTGGTCAGTTATATATAACAATTTCCTGAGTACATTTTAATCTTTCCATATATAAGAAAATTAAAATACAATTAGCCTTGCTACCATCTTTACCTGAACGTAGAGTAGCAGTTATATTACTGTGAAAAGTTGGCATAGCATAGAAGTAACATTTTGGAGATGATAGTGCTTGGAAATTTTCATATTTTCCCATTAATCGTTTGTGTGTGTAATTGCATTTCATGTTATTTGTGTACCTGCATTCACCTTGTGTTTTTGGTGCTTGTTAAAATGTTTATTCCGTTTTGCAGATTACTCCTTTCCCACTCAGAGACTCCTAGATATTGACTTCAGCAAAACCTAAGCACAAGAAGAGAGGGACTCGGCTGTCCTGGGATATTTCATAATTAGGATAATCATTCCTACTGTCTTGAAATGGCAATTGGATATCCCTTCCATAGCTGCTTTCCCCCAAGACGCAGGATTTTCTAGCTCTTTCATTTGAATGACTTATTTAGCAAAACACAATGAAACAGTACAGGATGTATTGGATTCCCAGGGCCTGAAACATGACCCTGAACCCTACGGTCCTAGTAACTGGAAAACTGGGTTTTAAGAAAGCCATCAAATTAGACATCTAGGTGTTTCTTTCCCTGTTTTAGATGGAGATGTAACAGTTAACTTTGAAAATTCAAACGGGCACATGATCCCCATCGGAGAGGAATCCACCCGAGAGGAAAATGTAGTAAAATCTGAAGAAGGTAATGGCTCTGTAGCTGAAAAAGCACCACCTCTGGAGGAAAAGGCAGAAGATAAGACAGGTAAAATCAAGAGAAACCCCTTATTCTTTTACTGCCATGTAGCTCAATGTTGAGAATCAGCTTTTAGGCTCCACACAGTGACTTTAAGACCAGTAGAGAAGGGATTTGTGAACACAAAGATAAGAGAAAAGATAACTAGCGAAGAAAAATTGGATGATTCCCTCAATAGATGCATCCATTTTATAAGCACATCTTTGGGTTTTTATTAAAGAGGGTTAATTAACAGTAAGAATCAGAAGGGATGGCCTCTTCTATCATTAGAGATGTCTGGGAATATTATTTTTTCCTCAGGAGCTTTTTCTCAGTATCTTCTTTAAAAAAAAAAAAAATGCCAGCAGTTAGATATCTTTCTCTGCTAGTTAGAAGTGGCCCCTGGGAGCAGCTCAGCATGGAGGAATGTCAAACAAGGTGACTCTTTCAGCCCAGCACTGTCTCTCCAGCTGTGGGAGCTTAGTTGGTGGCATCCACATGCCCAAAACTGTAGATTCTAGTTCAGGTTCTAGACATTTCTGAGAGAGATGCAGGAGGCGTTCCCAGAGATGCTGGGGATTTTGGTTGCTCTATTGGCCATAGCATGTGCTCCATGATTTGTCTGTGCAATTGGAAATTTCAAAATGTGCCAGAGGCAATTATACCATCCCCTGAAGGCTTCTTTAGAGACCTCGGTTTCTAGAGTGAACATGCTATGGTAGATTGCATAACTGCAAAATACATGTCTATCAAGAACCACCAGAACATTCACAAGTTCATAGTCACTGAGTGATTATACCTCCATACTGTTGCTATTATGTGCAGGAATCTCCAAGCTTCATTCATACTTCCGCAAACCTGAACTGAAACTCCCATAAAGTAAGGCTTTGTTGGGAGATTCTAGATGGTTCCATGCAGCATAGAAATGAATCCTCGGGAAATGGGCTATTTCCTGTTCTATAATGTCTGCCTCAGAGTTGGATGGCAAAAATTTGTCAGACCTAGATCGGGTTCTGTAGTCATTTTAAGAACTCTTAGGAGCTGCTGGAAGCAAACTTCTCTTCCTCTGTTCTTGATCCAAATACTTCAAAGACAAAGGGAACAAAAGAGCATTTTACAGACATTGTAACTTAAAATCACCTACTCTGGAAGTCCATAACCCCTTATTATTTGCATATAAATTAGCCTTTAAAAATTTTAGGAGCCTCTATTAATACTTTGTTGGAAGCTTATTGTTTTGCTTTATTCAATACTAAGTACAGTGTTATGGGGCTTTACTTAGTCTTGTTCCATTGAAGGATTCTGGCTAAGCTATGAATACTGGTTACAAGAAATTGACTAATATTTTTAATGATAATATTCCTGGAGCATAAAGAGAAGCACACCCAAATAGAGTTTAAGGTGATTCAGTTGAAATGATTCATGCAAGTAGTTATTTCTTTCTTTTTTTTAACTTTTTTAGTTCAACTGTCCTGTCTCACCAAACTGTTCAATTTCAAATCCATTTGTGGTCTGTGCCTTGTACACCCTTTTCACATTCAAGAGTCACATCCTTCATTACGTAACAGTGCCATGTCTAGTACTTGTCTGGTCCGTGTGGGGTATCAGTCATTGGATTGGCCAGACTTCAAAGGAAGTGTGTCCCTTATCAACTTAATAAAAAGTTGCTGACAGTTTTATGTTAATTAAAGCAGCAGGCCTTGATGTCCTAAAAGATGATGGCAGGCCTCAGAGGTTCATGAATATTTGAGAGATGTTTTTGTTTTCTTATTCTTTACTTAGATTTAGTACATTCAGTTCTTTTTGGTCAAATGAGGTCCAAGATAGCATCTTGCTTGGCTAGTGTGTACTTGAGATGGAAACGCTGGACGTGCTGCCACACACTAATGAGACGGAGCAGCCTCCCTCGCGTTCTGTGGACAGTGCACCTGCTGGAGCCACACTGAGACTTAGAGGAAGCTTCTGGTATGGGAGCCACTTCCGGGGAGTAAGAAGAATGTCCCTCATAAGTCACATCACATAGTATGATTAAATAGAAAATACCTTATGACCAGAGGTAACCATTAATTTCTCTGTAAAGATACCATTTAATTCTAAAGAAAAACACCCCAAGCGTCACTTTTACCTGTGCTCCTCTTCTGATCTCACTTCTTGTCTGAGCTCACTACCGTGCAAATCTACCATCTGTGTTCTTAATTCACCCTTTATTGTGGGACGCAGTGCTCCTGTTTGTTTTGCATTAAGCAAACTTACCCAAGAGCATTATTTCATCTGGTAATTGGTTATATTTGCAAAACTACATCCCATGCCTTTAAAATCCCAGATGCTTGTATCTCTTTTTAAGACAGTATGTCAGTACTGTAGTATTTGAAACATCAGTGTCAAAGAAAACAGAACAAAGCAAGTGGCCTCCACACTGCTTTGGTGGTGGGCTCCACCTAAGAGGCTCCTGAAGGCACCTGAGTCTGGGGTTAGGACAGTGGTCCTGGGCCTCCTCTGCCCCAACAGTGGAGACGTTTCCCATCAGGCCTTCAGGCTTCCTTGTCTCCCATTATTTTAGCTCAGTGAGTGCCCTTCAACATGTAAGAGATGGAAAAACTGATCTGTGATCTGTTACATAGAACTTGGCATTAGCTGTGAAAAATCTGAACATGGTTTAATAGTATTGCTGCTGTGTTATTACTGAGGACTTTCAGTGAAGTCACAGGTGACTTCATGCATTTGTCCCACACATACTAATGAAGGTCTGCCATGGGGAAGACTCTAGTGAGGGCCAGGAAAAGAGTGATGAATGAGAAATGGCCTCTGCTGTCCAGCAGATCATGACCTACATGGCAACCAGCATGCAGAGGGCAGTGCCATACCAGGTGCCAAGTGCTCTGGAAGGCCTGAGTGGGGCAGGCCAGGGAGCTTGCTGCGGGGACCAAAACTGGCTCGTAGAGGAAGATGCTTCCAAACTGTGATGTGAAGGTGACAAGAAGGAGGAGTCAGGTGAAGGAGGGAGGCCTGGAGGCCTTGGTGCATTCTGGGCCAGGCAAAGACGCTTGCGGTTCTCAGGTTTGCTCTAAGTGTTGTTGAACTCAACTCCCCATGTGAGGGAAGGAGGCAAACCTGGAAGTACAGTAAACAGCTATCTTCCAGACTATCGTGTGAAAAACACAGTGTTGTTATCAAGCCAGAGTGAATAACCTCCTCTTGGAAAGATAATCCTCATAGACATCATCAGTTTATGTCTTCCGATCATATGGTAATAACGAAAATGTATAACTTGACTGAATTCATTACCTCCCAGATCAAAGGAAAGAGTTTATTTTCTATTAATGGGTGTTGTTAATAACTGCCTGCCAATCAGCCACATTCATTGACTGGACATGATGTTTAAAGCATTGTGCCTGATGGGATATAAAATTCCAGACCAAAGTAGTTTATAATTTAGTCAGAAAAGCACACCCCTTAGGAATCACCACAGAGTAAACATAGACACTGGCCATGTGGCAAACACACACAGATAATTGGTCAAGTTCACAGAGAAATGGATGGACTGTGCTTCTCCAAGAGCCAGCCGAGGGTTTGCATGCAATGTGTTCATTTTCAACCCAGCAGGGATTGTCATTCCCAAATGTCATAGAGCAAACTCCATCCTCCTCCCCAAACCCAGAAGCTGGATTCCTTGAGTTATATCTGTAGAATTTAAAACCTTAGGCAGAAAGGAAAAAGATCCCTTAGTGATGTGTCGTGAAGGCAGAAGCTAAGACCTGTGAGGGTTTGCAGTGTGCAGGAGGGTAAAGATAGCAAGTGTTGCTGCTCAGCCTCGCTGGCTCTCACCATGGACAGTGTTGTTGGGCTTGATCTCCATGCATGGTATTATGCTAGAGGCTAATCTTACAAAGAATGTTAGAATTATTTAAAGAATAGGCTTCTGCTCTACATCAAAAGACTCGCACATCAATGTCTATTTATATGTTTTATGTTAAAATGTTTTAGGTGTGCATTGACTTATATTGTTCTCGACCCTAACTGATTTGTCGTTAACTGGCCTTCTGGTAGCTTAGGAGAGTCACCACTTAGTTGGGGAGCCACGATGTATAAACGGAAAGGCAAACACGCAAACTAGCCTGTGATCCATGTTGAATCAGCAGCTACGATTAAGTTCCGATGCAGGAGGGGCCAACTTGGGCTACAGTGACTGGGTGGGTTTCATGACTGAGGGAGGCTAAAAGAAAAGTTTTACTGGTTCCCTACCATAACTTAAATCATTTTTATGGTGGTTATACTGGAGGTGCCAAAAAAAGGTATACACATGACTTGTATTCATCTTTTGTTGTCAGTATATATTATTACAATTTTAATACAGTTTTTTTTCTTTCTTAAAATGTGTATACATTTTTTTGGCACCCTCTGTATATGTGAATTGAGGGAGCTGTAGTAAAAAATAAACCAAGTGAAGTCCTCACTTCACATTGACTAGGCTATGAAATGAAAAAAAATGTGATACATTCTAATATTAAAACCCTTTCTTGGTCATTCAATAATGGGAGTATAAATCCAGTGAAAGTTTAATCTTGTCTTAACACTGTCTTATGTTTTTTTTATTGTGCTCCGTTTTTTAAGAAAAGCTGCTTTTAGCTCTTTGGACCAGAACTGTGTTTTAATTTATTTTCATTTCAGTCGGCCACTATTAGAAAAAATATGGATGTGATGATATGAATGAACATTCATCATCCCCACTTTCACTAATGAGAGGCTAATACTATTTCTCTTCCACTTAGGTCAGACCTTGTGAGAGGTTTCTGTTCTTAAGTGTGAATTTTTTAAAAACTGAATTTTAACCTTTGTCTTTTCCAGATTGTTACTTGTGTTTACATTACAAGACAAGTTTGGTAAATATATTTTTTAAATTCTGTGCCCTCTGTACCTACAGTTGTGACACTGAAAAGCTCAGAGGAAGTTACTGGAAAACGGGAAGGTGTCCTACTGCACTGGGAGAAAATTTTAATAGTAGAAAATAGTTTACTCTTCAGTGCATTGTGCTGCTTGTAAGAGATTCTGCAGAGTCTCCATCAGCTTAGAAAATTACTGATTTTTGACCACAGTGAGACAGAGCACAAGTCCCTTTCAGGCTGACAGGGTTTGAGTTCTCCTCAGAGAAAGTCCCTTAGCAGAGGGGGTGAAGGTAACTGAACCCAGTCACTGCCGCATCTCACCCCACGGGGTTGTGTATGAAGTGCTGATCGGCCATTCTCAAGGGCCCTTCAATTTCGTTAAATTCACTTTGGCACTCATGCCCATGTCATCATTCAGCTACCACCCTTTCAAGGCTGGCGTCAGTCCCTGATGGTGGACATTTAAACTCATCCTCAGCATAACATCGTCAAAGTAACTTGTGCAGCCCTGTTGTATCACAGGAGTGATTCGTGTACCCGGACCACGCCCCCCAGTCAGCTCTCAGCCTTTGTTTTTACCGCACACTTCGTTCTCTCTCTGGTGCAGAGCTCCACACTGGTTCCCAGGGGCCAAACAGCCGCGTGTTTGTGTCTCACTCTCGCCGTATGTCTCGCTTCCTCTGTTTATATGGTGTGTGTCTGTATTAGTCTGCCTCTGTTCACTTTCTCATTTATAGAGAACACTGAAAACCACTCTGAAACACCGGCAGCTCCTGCTCCACCTCCTGCAACTCTTCCTAAGCCTAAACCCAAACCTAAGCCCAAAAAACCACCCGTGCTTCCAAAAGGGGCCGCTGCTGGGTCCAGCCCTAAGGGTGACGAAGTGCCTATTAAAAAAAATACCAAGGCTTCTGGTAAGCAGGCCCCCATCCCTCCACCCAAGCCAACAAGCCGAAACACGACCCGAGAGGCCGGTGAGTATGCCCCCGGGGGGTTAAGTCTAGGGTACTTGGCTTTGGGGGTGGGGTGGGACAGCTAATTGCTTCTTCTAGGCGCGATCGTCTTAGGTGTCTTACAATGTAACACTAGTGGATTCAGCTTTGACACAGAGAATGCCCAGGAGAATCTTTTGTTGCTATCTCTACCAAAGGAAAGTCACCCAGTTGATTAGTTGACCTCATTAGTTTTGGGTGAATAGACCTCTTTCATCCAGACTATCCATTATCTACACAAGAACCAGTAGAGAAAAAACAGGGAGTAGTGTGCCTGTTGAATGGCAGGCATCTGATATGACATTGTTGAGACATCGACTGGCCTTCTGCCTCTTCGAGTTGATGAGTGGCTTTTTGGCTTGGGTTTTCTTTCAAAAGGTCTTAAGTTTTCACATAAGAATATGACATTTATATCTTTGACATATTTGCTGGACCCTAATGTCTTAAATCTGTCTTAAATCTGCACACCTAGTCATTTCTCTACTGATAAATGACAAAGGGTTCACATCACTTGGTTCAGCTCCACCCCACCATTCTCTATCGAGTCACTACTATTTCAACAGAGTTGGAAGTTATATACTCAGTATTCCTTCTGTCATCCCCCCAAACAAAAGACTTGCATTTGTCATAAGGGAAAGAAATCATCCTAATGGTGTGGTTTCGGGTCACTATTGCAAGTCACCAAGGGATGTTTCAGTGACTTACAGTATCCGCAAGTAATATATGCAGCTTTCCTTTCAAATCAGATATACTTAACCCAAAGAGGAGCTCCCAGTCTTCCAGGGAAGTGGAATGAAGATGCCTACCATGTCATCCAACTTTTAAAGGACGTTAATCAAAGTACACATAATGGGTGGCATTTTTCCATTAACACGTGCATGAAAATTCTCCTGTGTTATAGCAAACCTTATTTCCCCTAAAATCAGCAGCCACTTTATGACAGTTGACTACCAGAGTTTGCCTTGGTATTGATCTTTTCCATACCCATAAAGCTCAAATTTAGGGAATGGCTAATGACAGACCTTTGAATGTAAACAGCTGTCTCGCTCCCTGTGTTCCTCTCTTCTGCCTTTGACCTTGAGCGTCTGGGTCTCTTCTAATAAAGTCTGAAGGGGAATGTCTCAGCGTGCTGTGCAAACAGCGCCGTTGGGCCATTTCGTCAGAGACCAACTGCCCTCACATGTCAGTCAGTGTCCATTCTTGTTGGTGTTTGTGTTTTTCCCACACTGCCTAGGACATCCTTTGAATCAGTGCTTAAGAGTGAGGCAGGCTCTGAACCGCTTCTTAAAGAAAAGCCCCAAACTGTCCCCCAGTCCTCGGGAATTAAGACCCTGCCTTGCACAGACTTCCCTGCTTCCATGTCCCTCATGGTAACGGCTCACTGTTGACTCGGCTTGGACTCTTGTCTTACCTCTCTCAGAAGAAAGCTGATTAATGCCAGTACAGGGTACAAATTCCCTGAAATACTTTTGAGTTATTTCCAGATATTTTACTTGAAGATTTATTTATAGACTCATGATGTTCCTAAGAGAATAGTCCAGTCCTGTTATTAATTGTGTTAAAAGAGGCCCGACTGGCCCATAGCATGTTTAATACAAATGTTGCCAGTCTCGAGGCTACCACAGAGAAACGGGTGGCATTGAAGTATACCAACAAGCCCATCATTGTTCAAGGATCCTTTTATCAAATATTGATAACACTCTCAT